CACACACACAAAAAAAAAAAAAAAACAAAAAAAAACACCACACCAATAATAAGACCTAACTTCAGAGGTTGTTGCCAGGATTAGGGATAATGTCTGCACTGTACCTAGCACAGGGGCTGAAGTGGGTAGCCCCCCCAAAATTTGAGCTGATATCATTATTTCAACTGCTTTTGGGCACAGCCTATGTGGAGGTGGGGCCAGCAAAATATATCTTTTTTTCTTATGCCTGGAGAAGCCTTTCCCTAGGAAACACTCAGGAAGGCCTGCTGTCATGAATAACCGCAGTCATGGAGGAGAAATCAGAAATGAAGGGGCTGCCTGGAGACCTTAGGAAGGCGAGAAAGGGAGGTTGCTCTCCCAGGGCTAAAAGGCCTCACAAATACCCGTTCCCTCACTCCCAACCCGCACAACCTCCGGGTGTGTTATCTAAGACAAGTCCCTGAAGCTCAGTGAGTGTCACTTCCTCATCTGCACAACAGAGATAACCTTACCACTGTTCGGGATGACGTGATACAGTGTACCTTGGCGTTTGGTCTGCAAACCACCTGTGCACTGGGGCCATGGTTGCCTTCCCAGCTCCCAGTCCCCTTCCTTCTTTCCTTCCTTCCTTCCTCCTAACAGAGCCTCCACTTTGCTAGGGTGCCCACCCCTTCCCCAGACAGCTCCCAAAGTAAAGCACCTTCAGTGACTGGCTCAGGGGTGGGCATGTGACCCAGCTCCAGCCAAGGAGGCATCATGGATATGCCTCAGCCAGAAATCAATCTACGTCCCCCTTCCTCCTCTGGATGACAGTGTGTCTAAGATGCTTGGAAATGCCAGTCATCTTATTCCCGGCCTGCAGACGAGGCTATCACCAAGATGGCAGAGGTGGGAAGAACCTGGGACTTGTTGACATCACGAAGCCACTGAAACCATCAATCCTGAAGCCTGCCCTATCTCAGGGTTCAGAACCGCCACACTGCACAACCCCAGGGGACACAATTCACACTGCAGCCCACATAATGGAGGGTCATGGAGTTGTCTGAGAGACAGTGATGTCCCCTGTCAGCCAATCTGAGTTGGAGTTTGTTCCTTGTAGCTTAAAATAACTGGATAGAACCTACAGAACATGTTAAAAATACAGATTACTGGGTCCCACTAGGGAGTAATATGCATTTTTTTAAGTGACTGTGGGGCTCCCCCCAGTTTCAGAACCACTGCTTCAATGGAAGGTAGAGATACCCAGTGGGGCCAGGCACACAGTCGACACTCTAAGCACTGGTCCAAAATGGACTTTCCAGAGAAACACCATCCATCTGCCTATTTCCTGTGAAAAGCTACTGCAGGGAGAACAGATGAGGGGAACTGAGGGGAGTGTGGCTGTCAAACAAATCTCACCTCTTCCCACAAAAGGCTGCTCTGCACAGTTGTAGGAAAACATCTGCTAACATTCAGCCAGAACCCTCTTCCATTGCAACCCGACTACTCCTTTCCTCAGCAGCTACAGCCAGAGTCATACCTGGGCCTCTTTCGGTGACATGGCACAGGCCGGAGTGGCTCACAGCCATACATCTGGCCATCCCGGCTCTCCCAATGGCCCTTTCAACTTTATTAAAAGGTCATTTTCCTGGCCTGGCTATTTCTTATCCTGGACCAATCACCCTCTGCGGCACCAGGAAACTGCAAGGGAAGCTGTATTTATTAGAAGATAAAAGAAGGAGCTGGCTGAGCCACCAGGCTGATTCCTGAAATCACTGGGTTTGAAATGTCAAATACCCACACCCCTCCTTCCAAGGGAGAAACCAAGAACACCGAAGGGTGGGACTTGGGGCTCCCCTCACATAGCTCTTTCTTTTCAACATCAGTCAGAGTTAGGAGGTTTCTTACCATGGCCACGGTAATGGATGGAGGGGGGACAGAGACCACTTAGCATGGGGAAAAAAGATTGAAGGGAGGGGCAGGCACTGATTTAGAGAGGCCTTTGCAGGATACAGTTGCCTAGATAAATCATCGCCCGTCCACTCGCGTCTCTGTCTCCTACAGCAGGAGTTCATCTTGTCCATCTCCATGTCTCTAGCACAGGTCCTAGCCCCTGTGGAATGCCGGTTGTACTCAGTGAATGGAAGGAAGCACCAGGAATGCTGGCTGATGAAATGGATAGTGGTTGGATGAATGGGCAGTGGATGGACAGGGATGCTAAGAATTGTGGCCATGGAATCAGGGAAGTCTTCATGAAGGCTGAGCATCTGCGTTGGATCTTGAAGCACTTGCCCACTTCATCCAACCTGCCTAGTACCATCTTAGGCAGAAAACTGGTGCTTAATAAGTTCTTCCTGGATGAGTTTACTACTGAACTGGCTTTCCGAAGTGAAGGAAACTGGCTCCATTTCCCACAGCCTTTTGTTTCTCCCTATGTAAACAGAGGCCACTCCTAAATAGCAATTAAACTGATAAACCAAGGAAAAGACACTGCCTGACAGTCTCTACAAACACTGCTAGCCGGAGAGCTTAGCAGGACAAGGACACTCCATTTTTACGGATATGGTCTTCCAGGACCTACTGTGAAATGGCAAAGGCAATGTCAGTCACCCCTTACTTTATGTGTGTGTCTGCATATAGAAATATTAGAGGAATATACAAAAAATTAATAAAAGTGATTATCAATCTGTAGGGGAATGTATCACTTATCACCTAATTAGGAACACTTTTGAGAATGGGAGAGGGTGTTACTGATCACCCACAGGCACAAAGAACATAAACTAGGACTGTCATGGGCACACTGGAATGTATGTTCAGCCCACCTAATGGGTTCCAGGTTGGGGGAGGGAGTGAAGTAGACATCAGGGGTGACAATGAAAATTTTCCATGCATACATTTTTATAGTGTTTTGATTTCTGAACCATCTGTATCAACTATTTGAAAATGTAACTATCTTTTTAATAGGAAGGAAAAAAAGCCCAAGAATTTAGCCTTCCAACTCTCTTGGACCAAAAAAAAAGTTCTTTTGGAGCACTACTGAACAGCCACCCTGAAGAGCACCCCTAGATAGTCAATGAAGTCACCGCTCACAGCACAACCCTTCTGCAGCGCACAAGGAAACAGCCGCGAGAGGAGCGCATGCATGGCCTAAAAAGGCTTGGACTCCGCGCGGCCGCTGAGATGGGGAACGTCGGGGATATAAACAGTGTGACAGACAGAAAGCAGTTCAGGTTTTACACAATCATGGCAACAAAGTGAGATTGATTCCGGGCTGAATCAAGCTCTTTATATTGTTTCTTCTTAAAAAGGAAATGTATTGACTACAGTCCTCCTCACAGATTTATCTCTCCTGACATCAGGCACATTCATAACCTATTTTAAATTCCAGGGAACAATGCTGGGGTTTAGGAGAGTGAATGCCAGGGTGTTTCACCAGGACGTTTCAGAGACTGGGAGAAGCTCCTCTGACTTTTAATTGCTCAGAAAATACACACATGTATTCTTTTTCTCATCAGTCATAACTCAAGTTAGAAAAACGCGCCTCCAGGATGCCCGAGCTTTAGGACGGGTCTTTCTTTGGAAGAGCTGCTCTGGGGCCTCTTAAAGATGTTGCTGGCACTTTGGCCTTTAGTCTCCTTTGTAACCACCTCCTCCCTTCACACTACCGCTCCTCGGGCTCAGGCCTGAACACGGGGACTGGAGAATGTCTCATCTCCAGCCTCCCAGAGGTCAGCCTGACCATGGCCCATTATGAACCCTCAGGGCTCCACACAGCCTTCAGGGGTGCAGAATCATATAACTGATCACCCAAATAGGGACACTTGAGAGTGAAAGGGGCACTATTCATAATCACCCTGAGAAACTGGAATGTGAGGTCATTCTACGGTAGGACAAATCCAGTCCCTTTAGTATAAGCTTGAATTCAAGACACTCCACCATCTGGCCCAGCTTACCTTCCACACTTTTTGCATCCTGACCATACCACATGATCCAACCCCAATGGTCTGGCTGTTACCCTGCATGCCTCGGGCTTCACTACCCCTGTGCATTTGCTCATGCCATTTCCTCCTCCTGCCTCTGTCCTTCCCCATCCCTGGCCTTCCTCCATCTATGCAGGTCTAACTCCTATGTTCCCTTCAAATCCCAAGTCAAATGGTACCATTCTTTATTGCATTCATTTACAAATCTTTACTGACTGCTCATTATGTTAGGCACATAATGAAGAAGACTGAAAAAAGTCCACCTCTAAGGAACTTTAATCTGTGTGTGTGTGTGTGTGTGTGTGTGTGTGTGTGTGTACACAATTGTGACAGCTGGTACCAAGGATGGGCACAGGGTGATAAGCTAGAGAGTCTACCCTGTGGTGGTTTTGTACAGACACCTCACCCCCAACCCACAAGGCTATGAGCTCCTTGAAGGCAAAGCCCAAGACACCCATCTTCCAGCCCTGCTGAACCCATCACACACCCTTGGATATAGCAGGCACTCAACAAACATTTATTGAGTAAAGAATTAATATGAAAAAGTTTACTTATTTAGTCTGAAAACAGTTTCCTTACACCAGTTCTGAGCTCTCACGAATCTGTATGGGATCAAAGGGAAGCATGAATTCCCACTGGCCAGGTTCTACAACTGTGACTCTCATCCGACATTGGTGCTGGACGGGCACTGAAGTCACCTGATGCAACACTGTGTCGCTTCTCCCAGGTTAAGTGACTCACTCACCCAAGGGCACACAGCCGGTTAGTGACTGAGCCACTGCAGAGGTCAGAAGGTGACACTGAGAACCTAACAACTAGATAAAGGACCAAAGGAGTCACTGGGCAGAGGTGTCTGGAGGAGGGAGGTGACCCTGAAGTTGGAGTGGCTAGAGAGCTTCGAGAAGGTGGTCTCGGGGTGGGGCCCAAGTGATGGACAGGAAGTGGGTGATTGTTCCCACCAGTGAGGCCAGCAGGGTTTCGAAAGGCACCATGGTAGAAAATTTGGAAGGGAGGACTACAGGATGACAAAAGGAAGCCTACTACTGAGGCTAAAAATCTTACCTGGTGATGTACTCCACGCGAGAGAAGGGCGCAGACACTCCTTTTCCATGTCTGACCTGGAAGAGGGGCCTACAGCAACAGCAGAGGTGGTAAAGCAATTCCTTCCTTGGGTCTGCCCCAGCAGCACCCTTCAGGCCATGGGGGTACTCAATCTGACCTATTCAACCACCGAAATGCTCAGATACAGCTGCTCGCAGAAGCTCAAGTGAAGGCCTAGTCCTGGGACTTTCCCCAATTTGTTTGTCTTTCTGCCCTAAGTGCATGGGGCAGACTAGAGTTAAACAGTAACCAGCAGCAAAGGCGCTTGGCCAGCAGCATAGCTGAATCCAAGTACATCCGTAACACGCGTACCCCTTTCTCAGGCCTTTCCATGGTGCCTAGTCATAGCAATCATTTAATAGAGGCATTTACGGAAGAAAAAAATAGACGATTGACTGGATCTGAGTTCTTATCTCAGTCACACACAGAGAAACAATCAAGTCAATTCTCAGCAGCCTGTACAGGACCCCGCACACCTGTCACCTGCCCAGCTCGTCTGCAGCCCTGAGCCACCCTGGCCTGACACACCTTCCTGGCCTCCACCCACCACTACCACCACCCTGGCCCCTCAGAACTCAGTCTGCGAGGAGCCCACACTGCAAACATTTATTAACATACAACATACTGGTAAGTCTCTGGAGCTAAAGGAACCACTCAAGTTCCTCAGATGGGCTTTCCAGATGCCCTTGCACTAGCCCTGCACGCCGAGGTAAAAATATAACCAGGTCCCCGGAGGGCAGGGTTTCCCAACCTCAGCACACGGACATTTGGCATGGGACACCTCTTGGTTGTGGGCTGTCCTGTGCATTGTAAGACGTTTAGGGGATGCTACTGGCATCTCTACCCACCAGATGCCAGTAGCATCCCCTAAACTGTGACAATCAAAGATGTCTCCACACATTGTCAAATGTGCCCTAGGGGTAAAATTGCCTGTGGCCAAGAACTACTACCGAAGACACCTGGAGCTCCCAGTCCTCCAAAAAGCTTAGGAGGTGAGGTTGGAGTCCTGGCTCTATGCCTTACTAACTCTGTGGCTTTAGGTAGGTCACTCAGCCTCTTTGAGCCTCAGTTCCTTCATCTGTAAAATGGGAACAGCAAAACAGCCCCTACACCTCAAGGGGAGGTCATGGCAGTTACATAAAATGACATAAAGATTGACTGGCACAATGAGTATTCAATAAATGTTAGAGATTATTTGCAGGCCTGGAACATTCCATTTAGCCAAGCCTAGAGTTTAAGTCTTCTATTTCTGTGGCTTCTGATCTTCCCCCTCCTTCCTATGCCCTTTCCACCTGTTAAATGCCTTTGGTCTTAACCTTTGGTCTGAAGGAATCCTTCCTGCTGGTTCAAAGGCATCTAAGGTTATAGTGAAGGAAAGAGAAAGCACGCACACACACACACACACACACGCACACACACACACACATAGAGGACCTTTCAGATCCAACCCTGCCCAGACCAACTCTCCTGACAAAGGTTTCCATTGTCATCTATAAACAAACTTTTCCACAGGGAGGCCTTAAAGAGCCAAAAATCTCAAAGTCTCCAGACTCTTCCAGCTCTCATTCCCATTCTGCCCCTCACCTTGGCATATCCCTCCTCCTCTCTGGGCCTCAGTTTCCTAATCTGTAAAAGGGGGCCGCTGAGCTCCAAGTGCCCCATCGGTCTCTGAGATGCTGCACTGTCCTGGAACGCTGCCGTATGGATGGCAGCTGGACCACATTTCAAGTAAGTGCTTAACTGGGAATGAGGATCATAAAGACAAATCATTCTATTTTTCCCTGGGTTCCCCCAAAAGCCAGTAGAATATAGTACTTGCAGAATGTAGAAATGGGTATTTGCTGCGCTGAGACCTTAGACAAATTAGCTCCTCTCTCTAATCCTGTTGCCTTTTCTGTAAGATGGGATAATAGAGAGTAGAAATGATGGAAAGATTATGAAACAATCATGAAAGCTGGTACAGAGCTGATACACACACAAGGTATTCAAAAAGCATATGCCTTCTGTCTGGACTATTTTAAATTCTGTAACCTAACTCCCCGTCAATCTCCTCTGGAAAGCCTTCCTTCAGTCCTTTCCCAAGCTCTGCCCAAGCCCTCCTCTGCCAGGAAGTCTTCTCTGCAAGACGCTATTTCTAAAAGTCCAAAGCCATAAGTTTCCCAAAGACAGGCTTGGAGAGTGGGGGTGGGGCAGGGGAGAGCAGGAAGGTAAGGGGTTCACTAATGACCAGTTCCCTGCCCTGACAATCGCCCTTCAGTGAATTCAGGAAGATTAACTACCCAGCCCTGTGCCGCCCCAGAATGGAGCACTGACCTCGGCCACACTCCAGGAAAACAAGGAAGAGGACTGGGCGGTTTCTTCTCTCACCTCCATGCAACGCCCTCACAGTTCTCCAGCCCAGACCCTTCCCCCTGCCCGAGCCCCAGGACGAACGACTCCTCTGTGTGAGATGAACTTGAGCCATAAGGCAGAGGGGCCTCCTGATAAAAAAAACAGAGCTTGGGAGATAAAGAAATTGGCCCCAGGTCTCCCCGCTAGGTCAGGGGCAGGGCTGGGGATAGAGAGTAGTCTCCAGGCTCCAGACACATCAAGTCTCTGCCCACACCGTCTTTCCCACCAGCTGGCCCCCTCCTGTCTCAGGTGTCACCATTCTCCCAGGCTAGGAAGCTTGCAGTCACCTCCACCTCTTCCCTTGCCTTATTTTTCTCCTCTTCGTATCACCAAGACCAGTAACCCTTCAGTGATAAAAATAAAAACTGCAGATAGCCCTACCTGGTTTGGCTCAGTGGACAGAGCATCGGCCTGCTCCCCTCTGTGCCCTCTCCCCTCTCTCCTGGATGATCATCTCTCGGCTCCCTCTCTAGACCTTTGCCCATCACCCTCCTCCTTGGGCAAGTCTTACCTTCTCCCCTCTCCCGTATCCAACGGGTCCTTCCAGGCTCTGTCCAAGGCCGCCTCCACGAGGACACCTCCCCTGACCTCTACGGCCCACAGCAATCCCTGACTCCTCTTGCTCAGTCACCACTGCCTCAGCCTGGTGCCTAAGCCCTCCTGGCCTCTGCTGTCACCGTACCACCAGAGCTGTATGAGCTCTACCCTCACCAAACGGCAATGGCCACCCAACAACTTGGCCATGTTCCTTCCACTTCCAAACTCAGCCTGGCATTCTTTCCACAAATATTATCTGAGTGCCTCTAATATGCCAGAAAGTTCTTACCCCTGCTCTTGAAATGCTCCTTACCGTTCAAGGCGTTTATTAAAGGCTACCCACTCTG